TGATATTTCTAGGATCACTCAAAATATCAAATCCAAATATTACCATTCAAACTTTATTATTCCTTGATATTTTGATTTCAAAATCACCCACCTCACAAGATAGGTGATTTGGTGAAGTATCAAGTGATATTTCAAAATATCACTAGATACTTTGAGCAAATATCATGGATTACATATTATCCAAAAAGGCCATGTTTGAAACCCTCTAATGTGTTGAAATTTTTGTAACATAGGACAATGACACAAATATCTTTAGCAAGTTTGAAGCTTGCAAATTTCGGACTTATTGAAAGCTAGCATTGAGATTGTCGACATTGTTCATTCACATGTTAACGTCACTTGCTACCTGTAGAATTAACTTGAGAGAGATTAATTGATGGAGTTCGTAAAATCATCTGTCATTCACAAATGAGAATCCTAGAACTCTGGTTCATTTTGTCTTTATGAGAGATTATGAATTTAAAGTGGGTACTGCTTACAGAATTCTAAGCATCCCCAGATTCTCATGGCCACCGAACAGCAAACTCCAACATCCATAGAACCGATCCTTAGAACCGAGGTGGAGTGCAGATGAGCAGGTTTTCAGGTTCAGAATATAAGGGAAGCAGAGACTCGGGGGCCCCCTTAAATTTTTTTGTGTGCCATTTACCTTTGTGTCCGTCACTGAACCTCTCTCTCACTCACATATATATATATATATATATCTAAATGTGTTCAAATAAAACTGAGATACACACAATGTGTATTAGATAATGACACCCTCAACCATACAGCGTGGGTACAGCTTAGAAGGTAGGAATTAAGCTGTCACTGCCTCTATCAAAAGTGTAGTTTCAGCAGACAAGTTAAATATAGTCCTGGTTAATGACATGCATCCAAGTAAAGGTATTTTCTCAAGTTGGGCAAGACTTGTCAGAACTACCCCACACAGTAATCAAAGCTAAACGCACAAAAAAAGACAAAAAAAAAATAAACTCTTAACCACTACATGTAAGAGATACTACAGCATACATGACAAAGCAGGTACATAAAAGAAGCTGAGTCACGGGCCCAAAACAAGGCACTCAACCACACAAGATGGTCATTGAATTTCTAAGCACAATATGCTGCTCTCATTACTACATGCTAAGTAGACAAAACAAAAATGAAAAAAATGAAAAAAATGAAAAAAAAAAAAAAATGTTGGATTTAAGTTCCTACCTACCAGGATTGTTGGACCAATAGACATTACTATTTGGACCAGGAGTCATCATGCCCGGACGAATGGCTCCAGGCTGCATATAAACAGGCTGTGGAGGATTACTGTAGCAAGGGATTCCTGTCACTATACTAGGACCATTCACGGGCCATTGACCAACAGGTCCCCTACCATCACTACCTGGATGCACTGAGCCTTGCACTTGTCCCTGTCCTTGTGACTGTTGCATTTGCCCTTGTCCTAGTTGCATTTGTGTTTGTTGCATTTGGTTAACTTGTGAATTTCTAGTATACTGTGCTGGTGGAATGAAAACTCCAGTCCCAACAGGCTGATGTGGAGGTGCATACATACCCATTTGCTGGGGAAGAGGATAAGAGGCTATGGGTACCATATTAACCCTTGCTTGATACATACCTTCTGGATGTTGGTAATCACCTGCACGATTGCACACCGCTGCCAGTAAGAATTACGAATAAGAACTCAAAATTACAAACGAATCTGAAGCACCCATAGTGTGTAACATTAAAGAGTTCATGACAGCAGCTGCATCTATCCAATAAAATAGAGCAAGAAGAAAGCGCGAACCTCGACTTAACGGTAGATGCACACCAGAATACAAACCTGCTGCTTGATGAGACCATCGAACATTGGAACCTAGATATGGAGCAGACTGAACTTGGTGAACCTGAGGAACCTCCCCGTGAAGTGGTCCACTTGAAGGGCCCCAGTGTGGAGGACCACCTGACCTTTGTGGTGAAATTTGTGGAGGCTGCTGCTGGATAGGCCTTACCCCAGAAATAAAATCGTGATGTGGAGACTGATAAGGCAGGGGCTGGCGCTCATTGTAATTAATCATAGAAGACCTAAGGTCAGGAACCTGGGAGTAATTCATGTCAGAACGAGGGGACCTATTCCAGGAGTTTTGCCTGTCTGGGGAAGGATGGAATTGTCCTCTATGATGTTCACCACCAGGTCCCTTGTCTCTAGTAAAGTCTCGAGAAAACACTGGTGACCCTAAAGAGTTGCTCCTCTGATGCCCCCTTCCAGCGGCACGTGCCTTGATTGCATCGTCAACTTCAATCTGCACATCATGTGCAAACCATGTGTTTGGATTTGTCACCTTGAGAAAATCGAGATCGAATTTCACGTTCTTCCTAACTAACTTCTCAAAGAGAAAACATTTTTCGAAGTAATGGAAGATTCAAACCCATTTGAACATCCAAACTGTATCCAGAAACGTTCCTCAAAGTCCAAATTACAACGGCATCAAAACTACCAACACGAACTTCTGCTGCAGTAATCAACATGCATGCTTACCATGCTAGCAGAGTCACTTCTTGAAAATCTACCTCTGCCACCTCCTCTACCTCTGCTATTACGTCCACCTCCAGGCTTGTGTCGATTACCACCACCTCGACCCCCGCCCCATCCGGCATCGCCGCCCACCCCGGCTTGATGACCCTGCTTAGCAGCTTGCTTCTTCATCCTTTTCGCCTCTTCCTCCTTCTCATCATCAGAAAACTCCTCATCGTCTGATAATTCCTCGTCATGCTGCCCGGAAGCGTCATACCCTTTCTTCCTCAACTCTGTGTCATCTTTAAGAACAAAGTTCGCAAATTCTTGCACAAATCCAACCGTCACGCCTCGTGAAGCTTTGTCCGGCACATCGGCCGCCTTGTTGTATCGGATGACGTAGTAGGGTTTCTTAACGGGTCCGAATACTTCATCTACTATCCCTAAAGGTTTTCGCTGTTCACTTAGCCACAAAATTGAGCCTTCGTTCAATACCATCTCGTGTTCAACGGCTTCCACAATAACTTGTTTGTCCATGATCTGTCATTGAGAGTGCAGAGTGTAAGACGAACTTTTGCAAGTCGCAACACATGCAGAATACGTAAAGACGAAGTCGGCGTCGTTGGTTCTCCTATTGAAATATCTGACATTTTTAACACACACCCACGGCAAGGCTCCATTCTAACTCTAGACTGTAACGATATGTTGAAAGAATACATTTTTTAACAGTTACAATGGTCGATCTAAATGTGCTAAAACGTTGACCGCAACATAAGCTCAATTGTCATGTAGCGTCTTTTCACCCGTTCGTTACTAGAGGTGGGGAAGTAAAACTAAACGAGGAGCTGCTTTACTTTCCAACAAAGGGCATTGATGCAGTAAAACTAAACAGAAGTCTAGGGAAGTTTTCTAATCTCGCACAAGATCAGACTCACAAACAAACCGTCGCTACTGCGACTTTTTCTCCTGACTCTAATCTAGCCCTCAATCTCAAGCCCCGGCGGCGTCAAGCTTTTAAAATTATTACGCTTCAGTAAATGCGACAAATTATTTGCGAAAGACTTACAGAGGAGACAACGCCAACTTCACGTGGAACTTGATTAGGCTCCAAGACTGCATCAATTTCTGACACAGGAGGCAAGTCCTGCATCCCAACCCCATTCACCACCAAGACCTTCAATTCAAGCCCTAGATCTCATGAATCCCGATCCAGAACTTCTAAGAGACCAATGTATGTTACGCAAAACAAGTCAAGGAATAGAGTATGAGTATTCCCCAGAGCAGGCAACAGGTCAGGTGCTCATCAGTCCTGGACCTCAAAACAAGAAATCACTTAAGCTCAAAGTCATGAAGAACACCGTCACTTCGTTTGCAGTGCGGGGAGGCTCTGAGGAATCATCTTCCTCGTCACTATCCGCCTCATTTGCTCGCCGAACCATCTTCTCCAGATGCTCAGAGTTCTCTATAAAACGTTTCTGCATATCAGCAGCATTCACATCGTCTTCCTCGTCGCTGGATGCGTCCGACGACTCGCCACTGTCCACAAGCGGATCACTATCTTCTTCCACCATACCCTTACCATTTTTGCCGGCTCCCTCCTCATCCTCACTCTCATTCTCCTCCTCGCATCCTTTCGCAACCCCGTGGCCGTTTCCATGAACTGGGGTCTGACTGAAAGCCTCAGCAGCTTCTGCAGCAAGAAGCACATCCTGTGGAATACAACCATCTATGTCGCCCGTAAGCAGCACCTGCTGGCTGATCTGCATATTGGACTCTCCTTCCTCCTCTTTGCTGCATCCAGTGCGTTCCTCCAGTGCTTTCCTACTAGTGATCCCAACGTCACCCCGCGATCCCGTGTCCGACATCCTCCCACCTCCGTTCGATCCCAGCATTTCTATGTCATATGTCTCCATAACTATCTCCCCCGCCTCCACCTCCATCTCCGATCCCCCCTTCCCCTCCCCCGCCATCATTCCTTATCACGCGTCTACCCTGCCTACTCCTTTTTTTTTTCACAACCTCCCCTGGCCAACCTAAACGCCCACCACTCCCTTTGCACAAAAGCCGTCCATCTGCTCTCAAACCAAACCTTCACAACCCTTGACTTCCCACACTAACTCCCTTGCTCCGCTACTCCAAAACCCCCGGCGCTTCCGACACTTCCCTCCCTTCACGCACTAATCATTCCCGTGCCACGCCTGCCAAATCACCCACACTCGCCTCCGCCACCGGAGCTGCGTGATGAACTCACTCTGTTTCGCTGTGCCAACTCTCGTCTCGCTCTCGTCTACCGATCTCGTCTCCCCAGCTTTGCATTTTTTTTCTTTTTTATTTTTCGTTCCTGTGCAGCAACATCCGTCGCCTGCCCCAGCTTCCCTTTCGCATACTGTAACTCATGCCTTCCAATCTTAACTTAATCATCCCTGTCGTCAACTCTGCTTCTGTCGTCATTATCAAGGTCGCCCTCCCCTTCCGTGCGTGGGGCCACTCCCGTCTGCTCCCCTCCATAATGAAGGTCCCCAAACCCCGTGATTGTCTTTCCCCCTTTCCCCCCTCTCTCACTCTCTCTCACTCAGTCGCCCTCTCTTTCCTTGTCTCTCCTCTCGCAGCAACACTGCATCTACACAGCACCCATACTCTATTCCCAGCATGTAAACCTTTTCTACATTTTTCCTTCACGGCCTTGGGGCCAGATCGACCAAACCGACTATGCCTTTGCATCATCGCTGCGTCATGGTTGTAGGAGAGCACCGCGAAAAGCAAGGGCTTTCTTTACATAGGAAAACATATCCTCATGTTTCCCGTCATACTCGTCCTTTCTCCCGTTAATTTATCAATTTTTGACGCTATTATGCTTCGGCATCATTAAAGTGTCAGGGGGCTACTTTTGCGTTTGGTAGCATTGGCGTATCGAGTCGAGGCTTCAAGCTCACGCTTGAATGCATGCTTAGCAGTCGATGGACGCTCTCCGTGTCGTCCGGTCACGCCTTCTTTGCATTTAGTGAAGATTCGGGAAGGGTTGAGCTCCACATGGCGAGGTGATTTGGAGGGCTTCCATGGACAGGTCACTGTTGCCACAATGAACCGGTCTGTCCATTAAAAATACCCTCGATTTCAATAATGGAAACACTTCCGCATGGGTTGCGATCTGTTGGGTGAGAGACACGCCCACATTGGAACACTCCAATGATACCGATGCGGTCAAACGATTTTTTTTTTTTTTTTCTCACAAACTGTCGAGATCATTTCCCGACATTCGGGACGCCCGAGCGGGTCTCTTCCGCAACAGGTTTCGGCTCAAGTGTACGGTGACTGCAGTGAGGTGCATGTTTCTGGAGACGAACTTATCCAGCGATGCATGGTACTTTGCAGCCCCTCTGTTGCCGCATTTATGGAACCACTCAAGCCTTTGCACAACTAGATATTCAATACGTTTTGGAATTATGTTTCCTCTCTCTCGTTAGACGCAACTTTCACAGTCATCATGTCCGAAAAGCGTTCCATTTGCATGATCCAGCTAATCTGACAGTGCAGAACGGTTCCCCAGTAGACTAGACATTCATGTACCATTAGGGGGAATACCAAACGTGTTGAAAACCGTAGACAGGCGCATCAGAGAAAATATCAAACCTGCACAGCGAAGCTCTCTGAGTTCCTGCTCAAGATGCACGCGCTTTGGTTCACGGCGATCATCACCGTATTAATTCAATTTTGCTCATTCACGACAGGAAGAACCGTTTGGTACGTATCGACTTGGCGCTTTATGTCTTATTTCTTCAAATGTTCTTAACGACTGGGTCTTAAATTATGACTTCCACATCCTCACATTGGGCAGCTCATGCTAAGCTTTTGCTGATGCCTTAGAGTTCTGACAGTGATGCTCTTGTTAAGCTACTTTCGTTACAGAACTTTACCAACGTAGGAAATAGGCAGGCTCTTTTCCTTAGACACGTATCTGACAACCTTCGGTTGTCTACTTCGTATAGCCTACATCTGCGTGGCATTGTCTTGCAAGTGTTTATTGACTGGTAATGAAGAGTACTCAAATAAAGCCCGCTGCAGAGTCAAAAATAGAAATCCTTCTATTGCGACAGGGGTCGCATACTGCACAACCTACTCCACATGGTCAGATGTTTTCGGAGAAACCCTTGCTGGATGCACTGTTACACTCACTATTTCCGGCTGGATTGTGGCTGGATTGTAACACCATTAAGGAATGTCAATATTGTTGTGCAACAGAGGTCACCGAATGTTTATCTGTACAGGATTCAACAAGAATCCATTTGAACTTCTCCATAAATTGTTAAATTCAAAAAAAAAGGTACATGAGGATGCAGCTAGACTCGGTAGTGAAAAACTGCATCCGCTGCATTCCTGAGATACGAAGTCATTTTCATTCGAATCGAAAGAATTCGATTCGTTCACACCACCACCAGCATTCAGTATACAGTAGTACTGATCACTGCAGCAATGACTGGCTTACGCAGGGGAGGCGCTTAGTCAGAAGAGAATAGATTTATATAAACAATTTGAGTCCTACTACTAGCCCTGTACAGTCCCTAGCAAGGGGACTCAAGGCTCGACATGGACTGGCAACAGTGGCTCTCAAACGCAACCTAAGCTATGTTCAAACAAACGCGAAAGACTATCCACTGTCCACTCTGAGCCCTCCCAGACCGATGCTCTCTTACAGCACTCATGGCTGGGGCACCTCATGTAATCACTTACTGTGCAAACAACTGAAGCTGCAACTCGTAATGGTAATGCTCTAATCGTACTCCAGCTTTTCTACAGTCATTACGTTCTTAGGATATACAGATTTGAACTCAAGCCTTGAAACTCTTATCAGCTATAACCTGAGATGACCCTGCAGGTCACCTACGGAAGTCAGTGAACTGCCAATCTTCATTGGTAAGCTATCATTCGTAAGCTTCAATTACAGCAGCAAGGTACATGCGCAAGGTCCTTTTTAACTCGAGCGTCCAATTTGAGAGGATCAATGAGAAAAATTAAAAACAAGTTTACCGGCACTCCTTCAATAAATACATGGATGGACTGAATTGCTCACAGCCACCTCCTCCCACCATGAGGGTATCCTCCCCTCCCACATTCAAACCTAGTGCCGATGCTCCTCGTACTGGAGTCCCGGTAATTCCATGCTCTGGTGAAGGCTGCAACAATGATTGACAGTTCAAATCAGTTCATAACAAGGGCGGGAACACTTTCAAGGTCACAGGATCAAAGAAGAACAAAAGATAACTTCCAATGTGTTATCAATGTGATGCAATTCTTACCAAGAGCCAACTAACTAGGGCTGATGCAGTTCCGTCGCTCTCAACCAAGCTTCTCCTGTTCTCCTTCATACTATGCCCCTTGCGACTTGAACTAGTCCGCAAGCGATATAGAGGAGAAGGCATGGGCTGAACTGGAGGCTGTTTGGCAAGCACTTCTTCCGCTTCACTGTAGGCAGGGGTGTTGTGTTCATTACTCTGCCGCATTAAGCCTAACGCATCGTCCACTCCATCTTCCGGAGGAACTTCCAAGCCCTGCTCAAGAAAATACATTCAATAATTAATACCTTAACCATGTGATGATTTTCAATTGCAGTGTCAAGATCAAGAAAGGACAAAATTCACTAAGTCTCGTTTGGTCGGCACCCAGTGGGACCAGATGCAACGTTCTAATGGAGGCGCTCTTAAAGTGAAAACAGAAGGTGCTTTACAACAAGAAGAGAAAAGAGATTACGATGAACAAGTAACTTACGTCCATGAAAGCCAAGGCTCCCTCCTTCTGAGCTGACGGAAGCGGGTCTAGCCTCCATGGTGACCTCCATAATGGAGATGCAAATCTAGGCGAAGGAAATCTAGGGGATGCAAATCTGGAATCACGAAGAATTACACCACCATTACTGAGAACACCAACGACGATATCGCTATATACAAAGCAACCACATTTCAAAGTCGAATACAATAGCATAGACGCTGACCCAGAATTCAGGTCAGGTATGCTCACATATTAGTGGTGTCGAAATCTTGTAGCCAATCTTTTCCAGGTGTGTGCTGGAGAATTGTAACACCAGGGCTGAAGCAGGCTGCCATAGCACAGGTAACAGATCCCCAAGAACTGAGCGTGGCTGCATTCCCAGGAGACATGAGCTCCCATTTATTCGAGACTTTAACAGAAATGGAACCTCCAACGCTGTCTCCAGAACCGACAGCACTGGTGTCGCATGACTGTCTTAACTCCCCACGTCCATGTTTACCTAGAACCATAGCACCCCCGTGATTTTCTGAGCTATTCGGATGCCCTTGCCCATTCTGTCCGTTCTGTTGCTGCTCTGTGAGTACTGAACCTTCCTGCTGAATCCAAGACACTATCAGTGGTGCTGTCACAACTTCACAGACGAAAAATATAGTGCTAGACACGGCGAGTAGTTCGGACGAACCCTACGCCACAAAATATGGCACACAACGAAGCTTTGCGCAGGCTGCACTGTCAAAAGTGAACAACACCAACCTGAGATTTGAAACCAAAGTGCGATTCTCTAGCACCCGCCCTAAATCCTTACCTTGGATGTTTGCGCCCCATTCTCCCATCTAGAACCAGTGCTATACTCGAGGTTTGATCCATGGGATCTGCCTCTCTTGTTAAATTTTCCACCGGCATTTTCACGAAGAGCATTACCAGAGACGGATCCCTCCCTGCTAACTCGCGCAGAGAAAGTTGCGCCACAGCCCTCACCACCGCCATTACTACCCGTAGTGCAGTCCTGAGACTGGTTACCGGTATTTCTAGTAACTTCAGAATCAACCCTGTTCGACAATTTGCTTGCAGGAGAAACAAACAGAGCAGTCCTTGCTAGACAAGTTTGATGCAAACCAGCTGGTTTGGATGATTTACCAACTAAGGTCCCCTGAGAAGCTTCAGCTGTCTTAAGGTTATTACCACATGCACCAGCAGCATCCACGTTATCTGCAGTGGTCTGGGCTTCCTTGAACTTCGCGTCTAGCTTTTCGCCAGAAGTTCCGGTTTTCAAGGGTATTAAAATCTGACGTGGCCTCTTGCGCAAGATTGAAGGCGACCCACTGAAGCTCCTGGCGGCACTACGTAGTTTAGACTGTGGACTCTTGCCTTGGAAAGGTGACTGAAGGTAATTGGGAGGCGTGATGCAGTTGCCAGCAGGCATTATCATATGGCGTACACCCAGGGGACTGTACGCCTGAAGCGAACTCACCAAATCGTAACTCATAAAAGGAGAATCGGCGATTCGAGGAGGCTCATAGAATAAGCCATCGCTTCGTTCCAGGACTTTACTTTTGTCTTCCAGGTCTTCTTCCGTAACCATGGGGGATTGTAACTGGAACTCGTCCACTGCTTCACTAGCAGCTCGAAGGAGATCGTCAGATGAAAACTCGGACAACTCTTGGTCCATAGCTTGCTCCAGAGCTTGTCCCATAGGCTCCTCATGCTGAGATTCACAGGGAACAGAGGCTCCGGAATCTTCAACAGCGGTATCAGCCTCAGTAGCTTGACTGAGAGGAAGGTTGCACCTACTCAACTGCTCGTAGCTGGGCATGGAACCCGTCATGGCCAAAGTCTCTCCACCAGATGATACCATTCTGCCACTGAAAGAAGTCATTGGCTGCATGTTACTGAGAGGCTCCATGGACATGTGACTGGATGCGAAAAATGAACCCAAGTTCGGCAGCGGAACAGGCATTGCTGAGCTCATGTAAGAATGCGAACCAGACTCAGGCGCTGGATTAAGAGAGAAGGAGTTCGAGAAGGAAGGTATCCGAGTGAGCTCAGCATTAGACAAAGATCGCTTATTTTGCATCGATGTGACCAACTGATTGGTAATGGAATTTGATTGAGATGATGAACCAACAGGAGGAACTCTAGAAAATCCTCCAGAGTACATCGGGGCTTGCCCAGATGACCAACCCGAGAACCCTTGCGTCTGCCCATTTGGGTCATTCTGAGACTCCTCTTTCTTCGGTTGCAGATGACTCGCATTCCTCTGTTGATCCTTCCCACGATTCGAATACATATCAAAATGAGGAGGAGGAGGAGGTGCCGAACCGGTCGATTTCGTATCTTGCTCTCCGTAGTGGGATGTGCGCCCCACAGCATGAGCATTCGAATTATGTCTGCTTGGGCCGGAAGATGTGGTAGCCTCACTCATGGGTGGACCAGGTCTTCCTCCGATGCTTCCAGAGTCGGCTTGCCCCGCCCCAGCACCAGAGTTCATGGACTGTTCTTGCTGTGCTTGATAGACAGCCAGCGCTTTAGAGATTGGATCATTTGCCGTCAAGGGATCCACTTTCTTCTTCATTGTGCTGTTCCAGTGATTTTTTATCGAATTGTCCGTACTGCAAAAGTCCGGATGGGTACAACAAAAATTATAGTAAGGATCAATGATAAGTGTCCGCCAATTTAGACTTCGGCTGTGCATGGAAGTGGAAGAACAAAATCTATTTCTCAGGTAGGAAAAAATCAAATAATTACCGCCCCGGCAAATATTTGGCGATTTCAGCCCACTTGTTTCCATATAGTTGATGAGCACGGATCAATGCCAAATCCTCTTGTTGAGTCCAAGCCTCGCGCTTTATACTGGGATTGAGATGATTGTGCCACCTGAATCATTCAACGAACTGCAGTCAGACAGGCTACATAAGGTCAACCGTGCGACAAAACAAGAAACCCTGAGGACAGTTTTGATAATAGAACCCACAATTTAGGTCCTCGTGAGCCCACCTTTCTCGACATTGTTTTCCAATTCGACCGGGTAGGTTCTGAGCAATCACAGACCATTTTTTCGCTCCATATTTGTTCACAAGTTCCATGATACGATCGTCTTCCTCTTTAGTCCAGGCGCCCTTAACCAAATCCGGATTAAGAACCTTCTGCCATCGATGCAGGCATTGCACATCTGTTCGATCCGTGAAGAATTCCGCTGCAAAATGAGGAAATTCAAGGTTGGTGGTTCTTTCCCAGGTTAGGAGGGCGTTGGACTGGGAAACATCGAAATCACACGAAAGTTGTGCAGAGTGTATGACAATTGAGATTTACAGCAGACAACTCACCAATTTTCTTCCAATTTTTCCCATTGAAGCACTGTACGGCTCGCCTCAAAGTCTCGTCCTGCAGAGTCACATAGCACGGTTTAGGAATGGAACAACCTTAACCTCTAAAGAGTGATCCTTCGGATGTGAATTATGTAGGCGCATGTATGGTACTAGCTCGCTACCTTTCATAATCAGGTCTGTGACATACATATGTTCAGATTGGTGAAAATGGTCCAGTGGCGAGAATAAGACACTATGCATGAAATTGTGATGAATTTTCTGTTGTTGGCGGATATAAGGGGAACAGGAAAAAAATGTTTCTCACTCGTCACAAGAAGGGCCTACCTCTTCTGGTGTCCACCCCCCCTTTGAGGATCTTCGAGTTGGACCTCCTGTTCGACTGTCATGTGAACACATTCAGGTCAGAGGCGAAGGCCATGTCCGAAACAACTATCACAGGACATCACATACTGTTCGCAACATCCTCCAAATCTCATTCCCATTATAAAATTACAATTCCGAGTGTATTACGGCTTGAGCAAAGGACCCAAGTAGGCCATGTCAAACATAAGCTTCCCAAATCATCGAACATAATTGGCGGCACGGTAGCACTCATTCTGAGGGCCAAGAGTACAGAACGATCTAACAATTATTTTGTTGGGATACTTGAACAAAGTTTAACCTGGCTTAGGAGATTGCGGTGGTTTTATCAGACATATTTAAAAAATAAATATATCTGTAGGCGACGTCAGGGCCCAACTGACATTGTCATCTTTCAAATTGGAGTACACGGTTAAGATGTCGAAATTGATTCCCGCATTGAGTAAAACACAAGCATTAAACCTCTCTCTCCACAAGCCCGGACAATACCACTGTCTCATCTTATCGGATTCCTACATATATCGGCGACACGCTCCATTGAACGCATTGCGAAACACCAGTTCAACTTTAAAAACATTGAAGATGAAGACAGCTCAATGAAAGCGTCGCCGATAGTAGGTTAAGGCACATTGGTACGCTAGAAGTTACCAGGTCCTCTGATACTAAGCTTAAATGCACATGTTTTGCAAACGCCCATGTGCTTCGCGTTCTAAGCTTTCTCAAAGTATGTTGTGAGAGAACCGCTACAGAAGTGAAGACAGGGCGGCGAAGGAGAAAGAGAGTGAACATGGAAGAAGTGGAAACAGAGTTTGAGAGACAGGAAGGAGTTTGACTCAGGGCGCATGCGCTTAGGTACCCATGAACAGGAGGAAGGTGGTGGGAGGTATCCTCGTCCGATTCTGGGGCAGATGTGCAGGCTGAGGACCTCTGCTGCATATTCTCATTGCTACTAGAACTCTTCCCCTTCACAGTCAAGCTCGCCATCCTCCCTGCACTACCCTAATCCTCCGTGCAGTGAGCACAACAATCCGTCACCCGCTGGCGCCACCACGACGCGCAACACCCTCTCCTCTCCTTCGCATCAGCACCCTCCTAACCCCCTTTCTCTTTCTCCCCTCTCTCCTCCTCCATCCTTCGCCAAATTCATTCAATACATGACATCCAAAAACAAATTGGTGATTCCAACCCAACACCTGCGTTTGCACTCAATCAAGCTTCCATCATACACATATACACTTGTGCGCTGCCCCGTTCCCAATGTCGCAACACTCCATCATTGCAACTACACCAAAACTCACGCGCCTGTCGCCTCGCAAAACCGAAAACCAGAAACGAGGCTGGGCTGAAAGCCAGTAATGACAGAACAACGCACCAGAAACCAGCGTCCACCCCTTACTGAGCCTTTCTATCACTCAGTCTCCTTTTTGAAAAAGCTCCTTCACTACGACCGGTCGCCCACCCCTTACAAGGCGGCATCCACCTCCGACCCCCAGACGCCATAACCTCCCGCCCAGTGGGACTACCAGGGCGCTTTCCAAACGGTCGAATGTGGAGATGACCTAATTGGGCGTGTAACCGCGACTCAACTCTCAGCCACCGAGTCCCGCCCGCTCTCACACCCCATCTCGCATTTCCTCTTCTGGCGGGGCTCCCCGCATTTGGCAGGACTAGGCAGGTCAGGGCAGGGCAGGGGCTGTGAGATTCAATTGGCCCCTGGTGCGGCCCACCCCAAATCTGTTTCGAACTTAGTTACTGCGGAAGAACCGTTTCAAAACCCTTGCATCCTTCCCTCATTTTGAATTTTCACTGTGTCAGAATCCTATGGAGACCTCGTCAGCACCTACACAGGTCCTCCCCCTCTACTTCCCGTTTCCGTAGGGGTCTACTCACCTCTCCCTTGCAGCCCGCTCCTTCACTTCCGCTTGCTAATTGCTCCTCTATCAGTATCTTGTATTTGCCATTTTTGCTGTATCTCCCCGTTATTTTATGATTTCACAGCGTCGCCATTATTTTTGGGCACCAAAGCGCAGACCATTGGCCACCCGGAACGATGCCGGTGCCGGTCACATCAACGTTGCTCGGTTATAGGACTCTTGTCTTCCCTCAAGCACCTGAACTTCCTTGTTATTTCTGACTACTTGAATTCCGTAGAACCGAATCCATTCCACTGTTACTCGAGCAGCCTACATGCATTCAAGAAAGTGTGGATCACGACCACGAGGTGTTTACTTTCGAAGCTTTCCCTCTCTGACGTCTCCGTTGCTTTTCCCAGAGTTTGAATGTGACGATGAAGTCTTTTCTCCTCCTTTTTTTTCCCATGTCATGCCCTCTCTCACAGACCACGTCATTTCATTGCATATCATCCCTTGCTTTTGCCTTTTCATGACGTGTGCAGGATTTCAAATATGGACTAGGTGGCATGGTGCAGAAAAGCATAATCCAACTCGAGGCTTGTTGGAGGAGGTTTGTAGCAACTCTTTCTTTCTTAAAATTTTCATGTCTCAGCGAAGCTTCTGCATCGATCGCCTCATGTCTTCAGCAATATTGGATTTGTTGCAGACATTGCAACTGGTGCTCACTCACATGACAATCTGGATTGGATATCTTTCCAGATGTCCATTACTCTCTCCAGCAAACGCCAAGTTGGGTTTTTGCTATTGCTATTTTCATTGTATATGTGTCGATCTATCTTGTTAGATTTTTTTAGTCTATTCATAAGTGTGGAATAAAATGTGTGTGTGTGCAGAAAATAGTGACAACGATGTGTAGGCTACCATATGAGCAATGTCATTACTAATTTGAGTACGAATTTGTTCTAGATTTGTGATTATGTATCATGGTTAAATTAATAATGGTTCTCATTTTTTAGATGTTTTAAGTTTCTATTAACAAAAAGTATAATGCTGAATATCGTACAACATGGTAAGTTTTCTTCGCTTTGGAATGAATTTTTATATTTTTAATCCCCTTTGTCATCTCATTGATACTACGCAATACTGTTTGAGAAAGACAAACATGCTGCAATATGCTGCATCGTTAGTTATAATAATTTTGAGTACTTCAGAAATCAATAGGATTTTTGTAGAAGACCCAGCACTGTACCCAGCAAACCATGAAAAAAGAAAGTAGACAAAAATATACTGGTCAAAACCAAAATCCAAATGTGAAAAGCTGAATTCTCCGAGGGATGTTTTTTTCCACGGTGGATCTGCAAAAGGCCACCAGCAGTGGAAACCATGGAACTGTCTTCCTCCGCAACTGTTCCCAAGGCTTGACATCAATTGACCCCCACCCCACCCCACCCCTTTGTGGATGGAATTGTTGTGCCCTCCCACAAGCCATCCGAAATGCAACGACTCCCGGCCCTTCCCTCCTTTCAAAAGGACTCTAGTGTGAACAGAGGACCCCCTTCTCAACCCACATGAATAGGCACCTGCTTCAGTGTTTTCCATTCAAACTTTCAAATTTCCTTGACCTTGGGGAATACAATTACCCCGTGGTCCGCATCATCATCCATTTACCCCTCCGATTAGGGTGAGAGGAGGGCCCATGGTAAACACGTGTTTCAACGTCGAACCCAACTGAGAAAGGCTTTCGGGAACGTGCACAACATTCACCGACTGATGGGTGTTGATGGATGAATGTACCGGAAACTGGGGGTTGAAGCCGAATGTCCGAATTTAGATGAAGTACCCTGTGCTTCTACCATTCCGGGTTCCAAACTGTAGAGCACAAGTAATGCCATGTGGCAAGACAGTGAGAGAGAATACATTGCTTTTGTGGGGAACTTGTTTGGGCCGAAATAATGTGGCTCGAGAGTTTCGAATTTTGAATTTGGAGGGCAGAGGTTTGGTGCCTCGGTTTTCACGGTGACTGTCCAGGCACTGCTTGGGGGTGTCTTATCATTTTCATTTAATGTTATTATATAAAATATATATATTTTTAAATTGGTGGGTATCATTCTCTCACAGCCACACACACACACACGAATGTATTTGTATGTTTGTATACATATATATATATATATATATATATATATATATATGTCAAATGACACATCCAATCTCATTGGTGCTTAAAAGAATGGTTCCAAGTAACAAAAGGATGAATGCAAAACATTGACTTATTATTTGTGCTAATCATCCAATTTTATTCAACATCAAAATTAATTCAACTGTATGATTGCAATGGAATGTGGTGTAAGTCGCTGTGGAATTATCAATTGGTTTTTATTGTGATAAATGATGATCTCACTATGTTAAAATTCAAAAATATCTCCCTCCCGGGAAGAATGTGGTTTGAAAGTTGTGGAGTCATGCTTGACCTCTCGTTGCACTTTAATATTATTTCCGAAAATTGTATTTGACTTTCAGTAATAACTTCTCGAGTCTGATTTTAACAGGGCAGTCAATGAAAAATGATAATTTTCAACCACTGCTGTCTTCAAACTTGGTCTTTGATTGGTTTTATGAAGCCGATGAGCCCATTAATTCACAATTGGTTGATTGTGTTCACAGACAACAGAATTTTGTAGAAAACTAAGTGCATTTGTAAAAACTTGATCAGTATACACAAACAACTTGTAGAAACCTTTTTCTATTTTTTGCTGTTTTAAAAACAGAATATCTACCTATCTATTTTATTTCATTTTACACCTTCTTGGTGCTCTAAGTCCTGAATGAGAGTGTTCCAAAAACAGCTAGTCTTCATTAAAGTTTCATCTGGTTAAGTAGTATTCTCATGATTTAATGTGTTCAACCCTAATTTTGAATCCTGCTGTAATTCAAAGCATATGAAATGAAGACTTAAAATCTAATGCTTGCAGTTTGTGGTGTGGGCTCTCTAACAATAGGAATAAGTTTCATATCTTCTATGATGTTTTCTGCTCCAATTCCTCATTCATGTAGGTGGATGAAGTTTTTGGTTTTCCAATGAAGTGTGGAGTATTCAAATTCCCAAAAACAACAACAAATCCACTGTTACGTTACAATAATACTTAAAGTATAATAGTAATATGATAGTAGATTGGTAGTGTAATGCTCTGACATTCACATTTCCACAGTTTTCTTTTCATCAATATACACTCACATGAAGGACTATGTTTTGGTTTTACAAATAATGTGTTCAAGAAAGTTCTTAATGTGTAATAATGGACCATACATTAATGAATGTTGTCCATACAGTGTATCCAAAAACTATACGGAAAGCTTACTAAGCAAATGAAAAAGAAAAAGAAAACACAAACAGAACAAGTAATGAATAAAGAACAAATAATCAAAACAACACATATGCATGAATCTGATGGTTTCAATTTGTACTGTATTCTTGAAAATTTTATTAAAAGTATACACTGTGAATTTTTTTAGTGCAGTAATAATAGCATGTGTATTTTCTGCACTTATATATAGAAATCAACTTTTTGCCTTTAATTATTAATAAAAAATCAATTTTAAAATGTATTCAAAATAATTTAATAATATTAAAATTTTTATTCAAAATTTTATTATTTTTTCAAAACATTATTCTAAATTGTATTCAATAATTATTTGAAATAAATTCATTATTTTTTCAAATTTTATATCTTATATAAATAAATATACGTAAATTAAATTGTAATTTATATAAAAATTAAAAAAATTGCATCTTAGAACTATGCATATAAAAATATCAACTTAACAATATTTCATTTATTAACCAAATGTTTTAAAAAATTACAACATGATGTAAAGTAATTTTAATTGAGTTTTAACACTTCTTCAATGCACTAGTTTTAGTTCAATGTAATAGTCTTGTTAGTATAATTTCTTACAAATTCCACTCCTAAGAAATATAAGAACTTT